TTTATTTAATAGGTTGCTAAAATGATAGGCTCTCCACCAGGGTATGTTGGATATGATGATGGTGGTTACCTTACAAAACAGTTAGCTAAAAATCCAAATGCAGTAGTATTGTTTGATGAAGTAGAAAAAGCTCATACAGACATATTGACAATCTTGTTACAACTATTTGATGAGGTAAGATATATATTTACTAAAACTTTATAATTTCTATTGTGATGTCACTTATGTTGTACTTTTTAATTAACAAATATTATTTATTTAAATAATTTAACTACCTATATATGTTTATTATTTTAATTTTAAGATAAGCTTAGATATCTARGTCAGAATGATAACTATTCAACCTAAATATATAATTTTTGATTGGTTTCAAATTGTGATGGGTTAGAATGGTCTGTTGCTTTATTTATTTTGTTTAGTCTGCTATTTTTTCTTGATTCAAATTTATAAAAAATCTCTATAATAAGTATAGAAGCCTTCTGTTTTGTACTATCTACTATTACGTTATTTTTTGATTTTATTATCGTCTGTCTACTTTTATTTGCTACAGTAATTTAAAGCACAATAATAATTAGTCTATATGCGAGCCACAGTAATGRTTATATTATGTATTATAATATTGTTGCATCTCATTACCAAGTAATATTTTTTGGACTGTTAGGTTAGAGAATGACCTCTTTATATTTATTTTAAATGTGTTCTATCTTATGATGAATKAATAGGCTTTAATTTATCTCTAACTTATGGGTACCTAATTAAATAAATGATTTAAATATGATGTATATGTTTATGTAATTTGTTTTATATAGGGCCGTATAACCGATGGTAAAGGAAAAACGATAGTATGCAAAAATGCCATATTTGTTATGACATCAAATTTAGCAAGTAGTGAAATTGCAGAGCATGCTTTAGAACTAAGAAATGAGCAACGTCAAAATAAACTAATAGAAGATAGTTGTGAGAATTATTTTTTTCCTTAATAAATATTTAGAAATGTTTATAATAATTATTCAATTTAGGGCTATCTGATAAAAAAACTGAAAAACATGAAGAARTTGCAACATTAATCTCAAAAAAATTCAAAGATCAAATTGTAAAACCTATTTTAAAAAAACATTTCAAAAGAGATGAATTTTTGGGYCGTATTAATGAAGTGGTGTACTTTCTACCATTTTCAGAAATGGAATTGAAATTTATTGTTCAAAGAGAATTGCAATACTGGAAAGAATTGGTATGTCGTAAATATTTCTGATGGTTATTGGAATTCAAATAATTAATACAGTAATAATTTGAACTATACTGTTTTTATACAAGGATTTTTCTTTAATCTTTAGTTTAGATTCTAAACTATAGATTATGTTAAACAATTATTAAAATTAATTTTGTAGTAAACTATTGAAAATTAAATTTGGTGGAGAAAAATATTCTTACGGTCATAACAAATTTTAAATATTTATAACAAAGGTAGCAATATTAATTTTATTTCAAATTTCTTATTAATGTTTGAGTTCTTCTCTAAATGGAAACATCTTGAATGTTCAAGCATGTGTACTATGGTCCTGCTGTATGGTGTATACCTTGAACTATATTTCCTGTCTGGCTCTATATTTATTTAACTCACATTTTTTTCAGGCTTTGAAAAAACATAACATACAAATTGAATGGGATAGTGCTGTTGAACATGTTATAATTGGTGCATATGATGTAAATTACGGAGCAAGGTCAATTAAACACGAAGTGGAAAGGTCTGTTGTATCTCAACTAGCTAAAGCACATGAAAAAGGATTGATTAAAAAGAACCATGTAGTAAAAATTGAAGCAGATATCACTAAAGGCGATCACGGAAATATCTCCYTAAAGATATAAAGGAATTATCTTTAAAATATTGACAAAAGTACCTTATTTCTGATTGTTTGTGATATTAATATAGCATTGTACTATTGTGTAATGTTTGTTATTTCTGCCGTTGCACTATATGTATAAATAAATAAGATAACTATTTATAATATTATACTTTATTATATATTTTTAAAATTAATGAGTTTCACAGCAAATGGCTCACAATTTGTTTTATTATTTGGTMAGTTACCTGTTGACATTTATTTCAATAAATATTTTAAATGCATAATATTTTAGATTCTGAGCGAAGCGAGTAATGTATTGGTTTTCCAATGATGTTTT